GTTATGGTATGACTCATGTCCTAGCTGGATACCTAGGATTCTCCTGTGGGAGAGAGTTGGATTCAGCTGTCAATATCTATGAAAAGCAGTCAAGGTTCTTGGTTTAAAAGACTATTCATTAAAAAGTACATTTTCAGACAAATTTGGAAGATGAAATAACTGCCAATCCTTTAGATGTAGATTCTTTAAATAATTTGTGAAAATTTGATATTTTAAATAAAATATATGATCAAAAATTTTAAAAAATATTATGATTCACATATAAAATTATTTCATTACGAGAATATAATTAAAGAAAAATCTCTATCAATCTCGGACTATATAAAAATTATTTCACGACCTTGACTCGATACTAGAAATTTACCTTCATTTTATATAGATAGTATATCTCAATTTTACGCAACTCGTATTTTAATACAAGAACTCTCTACGTCAGCACGAGCTAGAGTTGTAAGGCGCACTCCCTCTACACCGAAGTAGAGAAACAAACCCGACTCTTCTTGCTTCTTCAATAGATACAATTTTAAACACCCTTGCCCATAGAAATATTCACAAAAATATCTTCTTAGAGTTTGTGTAATGCTTATTCTGAAACTCTTCGTTCATACCGTAATAACATTTTTTTGTTTTTCTCTTCATCTTTGGATTCATATCTAATGATGCACGACGCAATCTTGAAAGTGAAAAATAAAATCCAAACAATTTTTCCTTTATTAACTTTCTTAAAAATTTTATCTATTTCACACGTTTAAAAAAATTGAAGATTTTCCATATGGAAGAAGGGTTGGATTTAGGGATAATGAGGCTCGAATGGATGACTTTCACCACGTCAAGTCCAAAGGTTATAAATCATCATAAATAATATAGAAAGAAATAAAAGCTTAAATATTCCCATTGTATTCTCAAAATTAACAAATCCACGATTTCCACATTACGGTCAAGCTAATCAAGGAATACAAACCACCGCCACCGTCTACCGCCGTCGCCCCACCACAAAGGGAAAAACAACAATTTCCGGCGAATTAAAAGCAAAGAAGAACAACAGAAGAAGACACCATGAACCCATAAATCAAGATCAAAAACCCAAAATGCAAAGCCCAATTCCTCTTAAACTTACCAAAATAACTCTCCGGCGGCTCCTGATAATGAATCTCAAAATCCTCTCCCGTTTCATCTACATAATTGGGATTTCCACCGCTACTAATTCTCATCCTCAGCTGCCTCAGCCTTTCAGTGGC